CTTCACAGCAAACTGCCTCTCCATGCATTAATGTCCAACCCTATTCCCATCATCATAGTCAGGAGGAGCACACAAAGATTATAACAATTAACATATTTCATTTTGCTAACTTTTGAGCCAAAAAACTTGAGCCAAGTTATAAAAAAAAGTAAGCCTCTATTTGAATTACAGGGCCCAATTCCAAAACCAAAGAATTAGCCTTTCTGGAGAGTTGCGCGTAATTTGTAGCTTAATCAAATACAGATAAATCTTTGAAAGGCTCTCTTTCTATGGGGCTGTTTTTGTCCTACCAGTGTGTTAGCCTATACTCTGATTTTAATTCTGGTCTGTGAAATCATAACCCAAAGACAAATGTATGGCTTTCTTATCAACCACATTTTACTAAAACTGTTCAGCCTTTTATATTAATGTGACAAATTCTGTTTGAAAATCAAACAGAAAATTCAGACTTTCATTTCTAATAAATAGCCTCACCTCATGGGGCCACGTTGCTAAGTTTTCTCCACCGGCTTCTCAGAAGGTTGCCATTTCAATCATGGTACACGCTATCATCCTCTTAGAACTAACTAAACATCTGCACAAAACAGCTGCGTCCAGAGTACCCACAGCCTAATATTTAAAGAGTCTACTTCCTGATTCAAAAATAATAGTTGCATTTCCAAGGTGATAATTTAGCCAGACAGGCAGCATTTCATTTATATGTTTAGCGAGTAAGTACACAGTCACAAGGCTGTACAAGGTCTGTGTGATAATATATGTAAACATACTCCTTTCCTTAGAGATGTGTGCATTATGATTTGACAGTCAAGATTTTTCTCGCCACAAGACACCCTTCAAAGGTTGAACACAGGGGCTTCCAGGGGCTCTGCAGAACCTTTCATCCTACACTGCCCAAAGAAGTAGGGCTGACAAGATGGATTCCTCCCCCTTTCTTCTCTCTCTCCACCCATTTGTCCACCTCTCTACCTGTTTCCTCCTCCTTCTCTTGTTCCTCTCTTCCTAGCCCTGCCTGTGAAATACAGACCTTCATAGCTTCTCTTTCTTCCCCCAAATCACATCATTCTCAAAGCTTTCTCAACCCTTTGTTGAAAACCCTCCATAAAGACTTCTAACTCTGGGAAATGAACTAGGGGTGGTGGAAGGGGAGGAGGGCGGGGGGTGGGGGTGAATGGGTGACGGGCACGGAGGGGGACACTTGACGGGATGAGCATTGGGTGTTATTCTGTATGTTGGTAAATTGAACACCAATAAAAATTAATTTATAATAAAAAAAAAAGAAAACCCTCCAAATTTAAGAACTTCAAGTCTTTTTTTTTTAAGAACTTCAAGTCTAAGTGGTGTCCCTTAAATTCCCTAAACTCAACCTGACCAAAATGGAATGGCTGATGTCTCCACTAATGCCTCTTCCACCCAACCTACTTCTTGTTCAATTAACGGGCCCAGCAGGCTCACTGGGACCCAGGCAGGCTGTCTTAAGGACTTCTTTGTGTCCTCTTTTTCCTCATCACCCCCCAACCCACCCACCTGATCTGCTGCCAATCACATGGATCCATATCTCTTCTTTCCACCACCATTGCCACCATGCCTAATCTAGGTACCTATTTCTTCCCCTTGAATATTCCAGAATTTTTCTAAGTGGGCTGCTATTTCCACCATAACCCATCTTAAACGATGCTATCGTATTAACTTTTTAAGCGAAGGTGTACGTACTCCAGAACTAGCGGGCCCGGTTTCAAATTCCAGCTCTGCTATGACTTCATTGTGTGACCTTGGGCAAGTTACCTAACCTCTCTGTACCCTAACTCTCATCATCTCTGTACACTAAGGATGGTAAGAGTACTGGCCTCATAGAATTGTTGCAAAAAATAAAATGAATTAATGATTAATAGTAGTGGGGGACCTAGAACAGCACCTAGCTTACATTTAAACATTCAACAAATGTTTCGCATTACTTCCAGTTAGCCCAAATTCAGCCATACCACGGACTGCCCCAAAACCCACAGAAGAGGGGATCCCTGGGTGGCTCAGCGGTTGAGCACCTGCTTTTGGCCCAGGGCATGATCCTGGAGACCCAGGACTGAGTCCCGCGTCAGGCTCCCTGCATGGAGCCTGCTTCTCCCTATACCTGTGTCTCTGCCTCTCTTTCTCTGTGTCTGTGTCTCTCATGAATAAATAAATAAAATCTTAAAAAAAAAAAAAAAACCCTGCAGAAGAGTCCAACGGCAGACAATGAAACTGCAGATCCCCACCCTAGCATTCAATCTGCATCCCACTGACATTTCAAGTTCATACTGCACATCCCTGTGAGACCTGTATACATACCGGGCAAACTGGGGGACGTACTATTATTCCCTAAAGTCGCTCTGAAGTCTCCCTCCTCTTCCTTGCTGTTCTTGCTTCTGGGATTTCTCCTCTCATATCTCTGCCTAAAAACGCTAACCATCCTTCAAACCAACTATAACTCCTCTATGAAGCCTTTTCTGAACACTTCAACCAAATGTGCTCCCAACTGCCTGGGACTCCTCTTAGCACAGGCGCTCTGTTAACCTGAAGATAGTTCTCCTTCTGTACCTCTCTGTGCCCTGCTGTCATTCTCCCTACAGGTTTGCGGCTTCTTGAAGGTATTATGTGCATTCATCGTCATCGTATTCTCCAGCACCTAGCCATGTGGAATATGCTGGTGTCACAAAAAAGATGGAATGATGGCTAATCAGAAGCACAGCCACTGCTGTGGGATGGTAGCTGGGCAAGTCCAAACCAAAAGAAGCATATGTTCTGCCCAGACTGGAGTCCTCTCCATAGTTTCAAATGATGTCAAAACTCACAGTAGAAATGGGATGGTCTCTCCAGCAAGTCTCTCTTTATAAGACACCAGAAATACAGTAGAGTCAAAATAAGAGGAATGTGATTTTTGTCACGTTTGGTCACCCTATCCTAAAACATCAACATTAAAATACACAGAAACTGTTGCTCACATATCAATACTACAATCAGAAAACCATTGAGCAACTGTATTTAGTGGCTAAATGTAATTTCCTGCTAGATCTACCATTTAGCCAACCCTGAAGAAGCAACTTAAACTTCAATGACGGAAGCTTGTTCTGTGACATATTAACAGCCTCTGGCACGTCAGTCACTGCCGAATGGAACATAATGACACGTACACAGTCCCTCCCCTCAGACTCACAAGAGGTCCCCAAGCCCTAACCTCACAAAAAGAAAGCCACAACAATGCCCATTGCCAACAAGAGACTGAACACTCAATAAACACTGCTAGCAGTGACATCATCCAGGTACAGGGGGGTCAGGGAGCAGGCCTCCCATTCTTCCATTCGGTCTAGGGGCAGAGCTGTAATCTGACACCAGGGATTTAGACCTCAGTGCCACAGCAACTCTGGGCATTCATAAGCAGCAGCAAAGGGTTCTTTCATTCCCACTTTGACTTTAGCCATTCAAGAAGCATCCTGCCTCCAGTACCACTAAGAGAAACGTCCTGAAGACATCAGTTTCAAGAATCCCTATGATGAAGTGACAGTTAAAGATGATTTGCCCTCAAAAGATACACTCTTAAAAATCGAGAATACTCTCACTCTTCAAATGCCTTGGCGGTACCCACAAATCCTTAGGCAGATCGGCCAAAAATCCCTTTTAATGGGACAAGTCCTAGCTTACTAGAGTCACTACGGTTCACTTAACTATGTTCATTTAATTGCATGTTTGGTTAAACAACAAGAAAGTCAAATTAAATGTTTGAGTCAAAATATACTGGACTACTCTGAAACACCAGCTCTTTTAACAAGAACACAATCAAGTCAATTCAGCCTTCTTATTCCTTATTATCTGCCCCTTTTATTGAGTAGATTTATCTCTTTAATTAAATTTTTATTGCCCTTAAAGTATTAAGATATCTTTTTCCTGTAAACTAATTGCCTTTCACAGAAAGCAGTTCCCTATTCTTGATTTGACACTCTCAAATCCTAATCCCACAGAGGTAAAGTAACCAAAGGCCATCAGCACTCCCATACCACTTCCTCCAAGACAAAGAAAGTAAGTCTCTAAAGTCTGGGGCACCCAAACGGAACAACTCAATTGCTCACACAGGTAAAACCTTACTCATACATATGACTTGGGTACAGCTACCTCCAGCTAAGCATGTCCCACTTTCCAAAAACGAGCTGCAGACACAAAAACATCCTGTGAGACAACAGAAGCCTTGTGAACTGTAAAGCTGAAGCACCTGTAACACACACACTTCCCCGTACTCTGTGGGTGCTCCGTAAATACTCGCAGGCTGATTCACAGGCCAATTACAGAGTCTAGCAAGGAGTCTCCCTGGTCCTACTCTGGGGAGTATTGGGTATCTACGGTTGCAGCTGGTGGTGGAGGCAGGAAGAGCTAATAGAGACAAAGGTCTAAAAGGACTGGGATGCTGACAGGTTCACACTATGTTGACTTCCCCCCAACCCTCCCCAGGTATCTAAATCTTCTAAAAAAAAAAAAAAAGAGTAGCTGAAGGGGAGGTGGGGGGGGTGTTAACTGGGTGACAGCCACTGAGGGGAGCACTTGATGGGATGAGCACGGGGTGTTATACTATATGTTGGCAAATCGAACTTCAATAAAAACAAATGGATAAAGGGCAGCCTGGGTGGCTCAGCGGCGTAGAGCCGCCTTGGGCCCAGGGCGTGACCCTGGAGACCCGGGATAGAGTCCCACGGCGGGCGGGCTCCCGGCATGGAGCCCGCATCTCCCTCTGCCTGTGTCTCTGCCTCTCCCTCTCTCTCTCTCTCTCTCTCTGTGTGTCTCAGAAATAAATAAATAAATAAATAAATAATAAATAAATAAATAAATAAATAAATAAATACTTAAAAACAAAAAAAAGGTATTGTTACTTGCACCAATGGGGGGAAGTGAATAAAACTGCCATAAAGGTGCACAGAGTTCCCTCACCAGAGAGCCAACAAACTTGAAAGGTCGAGAAAAAAAAAAAAATAGAAACTTACTTTTCATAGACCAGCTCCTCATCGATGGAGAAATAGTGGGTATTTACTGTGCTTTTTGGTCTATTCCTTAAAGTAGCAAAATATAACCGATCTGAAAAACAAGTTTAAAAGACGGGAGAAACATATGAGAAGCAGGGAAGCTGAACGGGGAGAGTGGTGAGAACACACGAAGGGTCAAAATAATGACTGCTTCCCCATTATTTAAAGCCCCCCATTAGCACGTGGAATTCCTGCGGAGACCTGGTCGCTCCCAGAGTCCAGGGACCCAAGGGCAGGACAGGGAGGCCAGATCGGACGAGGCGAGGCGCCCGGCGGGGCGGGGGCGGGGGGGGGGCGCCGGGCTCCCACCTCTCGGGGCCCAGGCCAGCCGGACCCGCCGGAGCTGGGGGCACCCGGGGAACTGGGGGTGCAAGTCCGGCTCGGAAATCTCCAGACCTCGGCAGCTACAAAAGGGGAAGAGAGAGGGGAGCCTGCAGCTCCGAAGACCTCAAGAAGAGGAAGGGGCGGGGGGGGGAGGGAGAGACAGGGAGGGGGACTGGGGGGGAGGGCGCCCCGAAAGGCGAGGCGAGAGCTGGCCCAAGAAGACCGAAAGAGTGAGCGGGAGCAGGACCCCAGCGGCTGCGGGCGACTGAGCCCGGGACGGCGCCGTCCCACCCCCGGCGGGAGCCCCCTGCGGTGCGCGGGGCAGCGCGGGAGGGAGGCGGGGGTCCCGGGCGGGACCGGGGCGGCGGGGGCCCGGCCGGGGCGGCGGGGCCGGGGCGGCGGGGCCGGGCGGCGCGGCGGGGCTCACCTTTCATGAACTCGCAAGCCCCGATTAGTTCCCCTGAGTCCGCTGCCATCTTAAGCGAGATGCGCGCGGCAGGGCTGGGTCGCGGCCGGCTGCGCTCCCCCGCCCCCGGGGGCTCCCCCGCTGCCCGGGCGCCGGGGGGCTCGCAGTCCCGAGCGCCGAGCCCGCCCGCCCGAGGCGGCGGAGGCGGCCGGGGGCTCAGCGCGCCGGGCGCCCCGGGGACATTCCGCGGGGAGCCCGCGCCCGCTCGGCTCCGGGCGCACACGCCCCGGGCTGTGGCCGCTCCGCCGCGGCCCCGGCTGCTGAGGCTGCTCCGCCGCCGCCGCCGCCGCCGCCGCCGCGCCAGGGGAACGCAGACCGGCTCTTCCCCGCGCTGCCAGCGCGCTCATGGAGGAGGACACGGCCGGCCCCGAGCGCGCCCGCGGCGACCCGTGCGGCAGCGGGCAGGACCCGGCGCCCGCGGGCCGGCAGCAGCGGCTCGGGCTCCTCCTCCGCCGCCGCCTCCGCGCGGCAGCGACTCTTCCTCCTCCTCCTCCTCCTCCTCCTCCTCCTCCTGCCCCCCCAGGTCCGCCCTCAGACCTTCCTCCCCGCCCTCCCTCGGCCCCCTCCACTTTCACGGCTCCGCGGCCATCCCTTAAAGGGACAGCCCCGCTCGGTCCGCCGCGGGCCCGCGCCCCGGTTACCAGGCGCCCGGCGGGTCACCGGGAGCCGGTTGCTAAGGCTTTGTCGCCGTCCACCAATTGCCGTGCAGGAGACGGGGCCCTGGGCCCAGGGGGGCCGGGCGGGGCCTCCGGGCCAGAAACTTATGAATGAGCCCGCGGAGCTGGGAGTGGAGGTGCGCCGGCGCCCCCGCCTCGGCCGCGGTCCGCTCCCCCTGCCTCTCTTTGGGCCCCTCACCCGCCTTCTCCCAAACTCTTGCGCGTGCACCCGCGCACACCCGCGCACACGCGCGCACACTTGCAGACCGCCGACCCCCGGGCCCTGCCTCCTGCGGCAGATCTTTCAAGCACCCCCGCCCCGCCACCGCCCGCACGTCCCCCGCTTTCTAAAAACGAAGAGTAAAGAAAGAAGCGCCACCTCCTAGCCCAAAGGAACAGGCACCGGTTTCCTCTACAAGTACTGGACTTTGGTATAACTTGTGCTTTGTTCTCTTGGGGCGAAAGGTTCCCATCCGGCCCCTCGCGTCCTCTCGGGGGACCGCCACTCTGGGCGCAAAATCATCACAAATGGGCCGCCCGGGGGGGCCCGCGGCTGAGCGCCGCCTTCGGCCCAGGGCGCGATCGCGGAGCCCCGGGATCGAGTCCCGCATCGGGCTCCCTGCAGGGAGCCTGCTTCCCCCTCTCTCTGCTCCTCTCTCCGGGTCTCTCTGGGTCTCAGGAATAAATAAAATCTTTTTTAAAAAACCATCACAAATGCCTGACCTTTATTTATATCGCTGGGCGCAGGAGGGGGGCGGGGGAGCGAGGCCCGGTGGGGAGGGGAGGGGAGGGGAGGGGGGGCAGGGACCCGGCGACACCGGGAAATCCCACGGAAGAATCGCCCTGCGTGCTCTGAGCTCCAGCGCCGCGGGGAGCGGCTCGTCTCCAAAGAAAGGGCCCGTCTCGTTTCGGTGAAGCCCCCCGCTCCGTTGGAACAACTTTAACACCGGGCGCCCCGCGGCCGTGCCCAGCTGCAGGACAGTCCCTCCGATATGAAAATGGCGCTACGGCTCCAGCAGCCGAAGAGCATGCGCCGCGAGGGTGTCTCCAGACCCGGACGGGGATTGGCGCCCGCCCTGGGGAGGAAGGGGGCGCCGCGGAGGGCGGGGGGGGGGCGGGGGAGCCGCCGGGAGAGCTCGGCGCCCGGGGCCCGGCCGCGGTCGGCGCTGCCCTGCCAGGGGCTCCCGGCAGCACGCAACAAAGGCAAGGTGCTTTGGGAAACCTGAGTGGCCGGGGGCTGTTTAGGTCTCCCGTAAGAAAAAAATATATATGTGTGTTCTTTTAGATACCCGGGAAAAAAAAAACAGAACATCTCCATTCTAATCAAACACGTCCCTGTTAAGAGTAAAAAGTAAAACCTAACACCCAAATCTTTAGGCCATATAAATTTAAAGCTGGAAGAATCATTAAGGAGCACTTCCTAGACCCTGTGCTCACACAGCACCGTCTATATTCTATCTTCACATGAAACAAACAAAAAAAAATCTGGAGATATGTAGATATAGATATATAGATAAATATATCCAGAGTTTTTAAAACTGTAAAAGTCTTTAAAAAATTAAAAAAAAAAGGGATCCCTGGGTGGCGCAGCGGTTTGGCGCCTGCCTTTGGCTCAGGGCGCGATCCTGGAGACCCGGGATCGAATCCCACATCGGGCTCCCGGTGCATGGAGCCTGCTTCTCCCTCTGCCTGTGTCTCTGCCTCTCTCTCTCTCTCTGTGACTATCGTAAATAAATAAAAATTTAAAAAAAAAATTAAAAAAAAAACTGTAAAAGTCTTGAAAGATGAATTGTAACGAGTGTCCTGTGTTGAGATGCATTCCATGTTTAACAGGCCACTGGCCATGGCTATGGAATTCTAAAGGAGGAAAACATCTCAGATATGTTGTCCACATTCACACAACTTCTTGAATTTTGCCTGGTATTCCCCCGGTCTTGGTGTCAACCGTCATGTTGGCCAAATCAAATTACTTTATTGAAAATTTCTAACAGATTTTACACGTGAAAGATGGAAAAGCAAAGCGAAAGAATGTCTCAACAAAGTTAACCCCTTTGTTTAGAAGCCTGCATTCATTGATGGTAATGTTTCCAAATTTGCTGATTTAACATTCGTGTAGAATCGAAATTCATTTGCAAATTTCCTAACAACTTTCATCCCAGTACTGTATTAGAAAAATTGCGTGAAAAAAGAAGTCCTGGTTCTCATTCAACACTTAAACTTTTAATTTCACAAAGTAAATAATTAATGAAATTAATTCTAAATCTGCATTTTCAGAAAAAGCAGCTTTAATTGAACACCCTCTTGTTATCTTCTAAAACAGATTTACAAAAAGATTTCTTTCATATAATTCTCTGGCTTAGAAATTTTGATCATGAAGAGTGAATTATGACCTGAACAAATAGAAATTCTTAAAAAAAATTTAAGATTTTATTTATTTATTCATGAGAGACACAGAGAAAGGCAGAGACATAGAGGGGGAAGCAGGCTCCCTGCAGGGAGCCCAATGTGGGACTCATCCCTGGATCCCAGAATCACCACCTGAGTCTAAGGCAAATGCTCAACCACTGAGCCACTGAGGTGTCCCAAAATTCTTAGAATTAAGAACTCAAAATTTTTTTAAAAGTTTATTTTTCTTAACATATTTACAATATGGATATTATAATGAAATTTTAAAGACTCTAATTTTTTAATGTTGCATGAAAGAAAAATAAGTGATTATCAGTATAATCAAATCTAACACAAAATCTGCACAATCTAAATGATATGGAAAATTCTACAAGAAAAATTGTAAACAAGCTAGTGCACACACAGCACATATCCATATCAAGGTTCTAATGAGATCATAAAACACTTTATTCTCTCAATTATCATGAAGTCAGTGTTCCTATTGGCTGTAGTTTCATAATAAAGGCATGATTTCAGTCTATGGAGGAAGGTAACAGAAGATACTTCTTTCCAATCATCTAACTTAATAGAAGTGTTAGGAAATGACTTTTACTTTAAACAATTATTAGGAAAGATGTTTCACACATAAAGAAAATACAAAGAGAATGAAGGAAATATTATACATAGAAATTTAACAGTTACATGTAAAAGTGTCTCAACAGCAGTAACTCCTTGAATACTACTTGAATCCTGTCTCTGATGCAGGAAGAGGCAGTCTGCAGACTGAGTGTGCACCTGCAGAGCCGGAAGCTCACTGCAGGAGGCAGCTCCAAAATGTGTCACCAAAATATATCTGGTTCTAATTCGGCCCCTGCAGGCTGCACTGGACACCCTTAGTCATTCTTGAACATGACACCTCTTCAAAACTGCAAAGGCAACTCCCCTGGACCACTTCTTCCTCTCAGTCTTCCCTAGGTCAAAATCCTCACTTCTTTCAACTTTTTCATAAATTACATGGCTTCAAGTCCAGTCACTTTCTTCTCCAATTTGTCTATAAAGTGTGTCCCAGAACTGAGTGCCTGATGACCTAGTATGACTAGTTCTGAGATTGGGAAACAGCACTGATAGAAGATTCAGATGAGAACAAAGGCGATGAAAAACATAATTAAATTCTATCATTTAGCTGCAAAAAGAAGGAAAATAGTCTCTCCTGTTGGAGAAGGGCAAGGAAAAAAGTTGCTTAGGCTAATCAAAGACCTTATAACTGTAATATTTATATATTCCATTCAAAGTTCCAGTTGTTAAAATACATGATTAGAACATGCTCTTTCAGTTGCTTGTTCAGTCATGATGATGTAAAATGGGCAAATAAAAAATATATATAATACATACTTTGAATTCTTTCTAAAAATTAATTTTCAGTTTAACTGTGAAACAAGGAGCCATAGAAACCTGTCCTTCTGAGTAATTTGAAATTCAAAGTAATTCGAATTGTATAAATATTTTGGTAATTCCTTGCCTGGTGCCAAAAATAATTTAAAGCAATATATATGAATATCAAAAATATGGAGATAATGTGGCTCATGACATAGCTGCCCACAGATGCTAAAATCTTGGCCTAACCCAGCGATATTCTGCATCACAGTGATCACCAATGCCTGTTTAAGAACTCTAAACCAGAATGAAAGATGATAAGAACCACGAAGGACCTGGGAGGTCAGCTAGTTCCAGTTTTCAAACAGGCTCCACAGAGCCTAAGGTAATAGAGGCCCCACCTGGGGGATGGAAGTGAAGAGTGATAGATGAGGACGCAGGGCTCCTACAAAATATCTCACTTGTAAAAATGCTGTGGCAGATAGAGGGGGAAAAAAGAGAAAAGGAAACTGTGGTCCACAGTGACTTTCTGAAGTCACATAGCTGATTGGTGGTAGAAACAAAACCAGTATTCATTATTTGCTCTAACACTAATAATCTTTTCTCAATTTTCTCCTAACTTAGCTCATCTCACATTGTTCAGCTCATGGGTTCTTAAACTTTTAAGATGATAAAATGTCAAGCCTATGCCTAATATCTTTTCTTCAAATTTTTAGAGACAATATTGAAATAATTTAAGCTCAGAATGGGAAAATAAATGTTGCATTAGGAGACACCTGGGTGACTCAATGGTTGAGCATCTGCCTTTGGCTCAGGTCATGATCCCGGGATCCTGGGATCAGGTCCTGGGATTGAGTCCTGGGATCAGGTCCCGCATCGAGCTCCCTGCATGGAGACTACTTTTCCCTCTGCCTGTGTCTCTGCCCTTCTCTCTCTCTGTGTCTCTCATGAATAAATAAATAAAATCTTAAAAAGAGAGAGAGAGAGCTGTTGCATTATCTGCCATTGCTCTTCTTAT